GATAATAATTAATTATTCTGTTAGAACTCAATAATTATCTCAATTATATTTTAGATTTTTTTATATTTAAAATAAGATGTTTATCATGTATTTGATTGTATTTATCTGCAGTTAGTTACACGAATTCAGATATGGGTTGAAATCGGATAGGGATGAACGGGATTAGGAGTTTTAAGAGTTTTAACCAAATGCTTTATAATATAGTATAGATTAATTTAGGTTTAATAATGAAATAATTTATTTTTGGTTCAATAATATAACATTTTATAAAGATAACAATTAAGTATTCTGTTAGAATTCAATGATTATCGTAATTATATTTTAGATTTTTTATATTTAAAATGAGATGTTTATCCTGTATTTGATTGTGTTTATCTGCAGTTAGTTATACGAATTTAGATATAGGATGAAATCGGATAGGGATGAAAGGGTTTAAGAGTTTTTAAGAGTTTAAGAGTTTTAAGAGTTTTTTAAGAGTTTTAGCCAAATGCTTTATAATATAGTATATATTTTTATGTAAATAACATGTTCCAACAAATGGGAGTTTTCAACAAATGATTCTTAACTTCCAACAACCATTAATAAATAATTAACGTCGAGGGTCACCAATGTAATATTCTAAAATGGAAAATCAAAAGTCAAAATCTTCAAAGAAAACTTATATCCATCTTCACAACGAAGAAATTTATGTAAATTATCTATACTATATTATAAAACATTTGATAAAAACTCTTAAGAACCATTTTTTATGCGTAAAGTATTGTTTATTAATGCATATTACTTAAAACTCAAGATTGCAAGTAGATTGTGCGTAAGTACAACTTATTAAAGCTCCATATCTAAATTCGTGTAACTAACTGCAGATAAACATAATCAAATACAAGATAAACATCCCATTTTAAATATAAAAAATCTAAAATATAACTAGGATAATCATTGGGTTCTAACAGAATACTTAATTATTATTTTTATAAAATGTTATATTATTAAACCAAAAATAAATTATATAAAAAATGAGAACTTTTAAATAGTTGATTTGATATGGTATATTTTTTTCAAATTTTTATGATATCTTCAAATTTATATTTTATTCAAAAATAAAATAATTATCGCTTTCTTAAAAACACATAAAATCGTATTATAACATCGACAGAGACAAATAATAAAATAAAACATTAATAAAAAGATGTGTCTCGCTGCATTGTGCGAGTACTCTTCTAGTATTATTAAAATATCCGGTACCTTTCATAAAATATTTTTGAGTTAAGTACTAATTTGTTCCCTATGGTTTGGTGGTTTTTATGAAAATGGTCCCTGGACTTCATTTATTATATATTAGAACTTGTTGTATGTTGTTTTGTAACGAACTGGTCCATCACTCTAATAGTTGCTTGAAAGGAAAAACAAACTAGCAGAAATCACAAACCTCAAGATTCGCGAAGAAACCGAACAAGGAAGATCGATCTTTGTTGTGAAGAGAGTGGTTCGTATTTGTTGTGAGACGGATCAAGATTCACAACCACAGATTGAGATTCGCACAGCCACAGATCGAACGATCTCTATTGTGAAGAGAAGAGGTGTTCGTATTTGAGGAAGATCGATCTCTGTTAGAAGAGTGGATTGATCTCTGTTGTGATCGATTGTGAAAGAGAAGAGTAGATCGATTGTGAAAGAGGTGTTGTGAGAGATTAGGATATAGAAAGGGTGTTAACAGGGTTAAAATGGTAAACCGGTAAAATATGACTTTCATAAGCCAAAAATGATTAACTTATCAAAAACTGCTTATTACCGGTTTGGCACCGGTATAAACAGTTTTCTTTAACCCTCTTCCAAATACTAGGATTTAACTTATCATTGATGTCAAACTGAAATTAGTAAAAAAAACACCTAAAATAAGCAAATCCCAAAAACCCCCTCAGTAAAGAGGTGTGAACTATATGCACAAAAATGTAATTTATTCTAAAACTTTAAATCGGGTATATAAATCGGGTTGTGTTTAGTTGGGCCTGGCCCAATCGATTTGTGCCTCTCTACTCCCACTCTCCCCTAAGCGGCCGTACCTCCCTTCACTTCCATCCACTTCAGCCGCACCTCCCTTCAGCCGTCTCCGTTTTCGTCATTTCCTTCTCTATTGAACCTGAAGTGAACGGAATTTAACAGAGGCGAGCTCGTGTTGATGCTGTAGAGATCATTTCCTTCATAATCAGTTGAAGCATAAACCCTGATTCGAGAAACTCTAATCGATTAACGAGGTAATTCAATCTATTCAAAACCCTAATTCCATCTTTTCCTTTTTATTGTTACTTTCCGGGTATTATCTGAATAAATCAAGTAATTGTAATCAAACTTTGGAATATGGTTCTTCTTTTGATTTGCTTATATTCATGTTTCTTGCGAGTTTAGTAACTGTTTGGACCTAATTGAGAAAATAGAAGAGTTAGGATGTGATCTTTTGGGGTTATCGGACTAACTTTGAGGAGGATTGGATAACTACATACTGATGATATGAAGATGATGGTGTTGAATTTTGCTCTTCTGATACTCGTGAATATAGAGACAATGCATTCCATCATTCTGCCTGTTTTTACGGTGTAGTTGATCAATTTGTGATTGGTTGTACGTACTTTAGCTGTAGATTTTCACTTGCTTCTGTTGAGGGTTGTTGGTTGGACAACGCTTATTGGTTAATAATCTTTTGGTACATGTCAAATTATCAACCAATGGAAGTTCAAATTGTAACACGATCATCAGCACATTTAGCTCCTTCCTTTAAATCTAGGCCACTCACTTTATGAGTCACTGTTATTGCTAGAATCCCAACTGAGCTTGGGAACCTACATAACTGACTAAAGTTTACTCATCATAGGCTGGGACCGACAACTGTCATCATACAGCATCGCTCGGCACAATTTTGAACATATCTTCATTTTGTTTGATAAGTTTTTTTCCACTGAAGCTAACCTTAGTTCCTTTTGGCTACCTTTTTGTTTAGTTCGTAAAAGCAAGCCTTTTCATGTCATTTGAACATAAGAGTGTTCAAAACTTCAAGTGATGTCAATAGTTGATCTACCACTGATTCCACATCCTAATGCTTAGAAACTTCACTTAGACCATTTGCAATCTGTGTTTCATCTTGTTAGTTTCATTTCACATCCGGTTTCATCTTGTGTTTTTTCCCAATTTATCTGCTGCTGGATAATGTCACATGGACCGTACACAATCTTGAATATTCTTTGTGGTTCAAATCATTTTCAACCCGACAAACCCAACCTAACTAGCATGGTTTGGGGTGGGTTATACTTTTAAAACACTTTGAACGGGTTGAGTTTTTTCAAACCGCAGTCATTGCCCATTGGGTTGGGTTGTTCAAACGCCCCCAAACCAGCGAACCCAACCCGTTTGCACCACAAGTTTTTATCCATTTTCCACTTACTCATTTTATACAACTATCGAAATAAAGAAAAACAGATTGATTAATATTGACAAAACAATCAATCTGTTTTATCCTACTACAAAATCTACCTGTTTTAACTTGTTATTTAGCTTGTTCATTTTATCATTGATATACGAAACATACTTTAATAATTCATTATATTTAGACATTTTTTTCTTTTCATTTTTTTTGTGCTGCTACCCAAGCAATGTTTCTGTTCGATTTTATCGTCATAGCTACCTAACAAGTCATCTAACGATCGGAGACACACCATACTCTAATCTCTCTTAACGTCTATGCTTCTCAGCAATTCGTTGCTTCCTACTTCATAGTCAAGTTCTTGCTTGAATTTTGATTTCTATAGAAGCTCATTTATGATTTGCTAAATTTCTATCCTAATTGCATTTTAGGTGTTTTTCAGTGCCTGGCGACCAAGGAAAGCATTTGACGGTATTTGACGCAGGTTGGGTGTTCACTTAGGGTTTCTACAATTCGTGAGGTTGAATAGTGCAAAGTCCTTCAAGAACAGCAAAAATGTCTCGAAAAGGTCTAATGGAGCAGGATTTGAGCAAGCTGGATGTGGCACAACTACATCCACTCTCCCCAGAGGTCATATCTCGCCAGGCTACAATTAATATTGGTAACTTACTGTTTTTTACTTAGAAAGTTTGTATCTCTGATCTGCTCATGTATTGATGGCCTTCCTTTTCCATCTCTGGAGCTTATAGGACCACCTAAGTTCCCTATGTGGCTGGAAATAATTTTCCTATTTGTTAACAGGTACCATTGGTCATGTGGCTCATGGCAAGTCAACAGTTGTAAAAGCAATTTCTGGTGTGCAGGTCATTACTTCTTTCCTCTTTGCTTTTACTGAAATTTAATCAAATTATCAGAACACTAGTTCTAGGAACTAGGAAGTTAAAACTATACTTTAGATATTTGTTATATGATCTTTTCTCTATTGTAATGCCTTGATGTATATACAAGCATATAAATGGAATAAGGTTTAAGAGATTAAGTTCTTAGGATTTATGGCCAATGTTTTTTTTTTTATTTCTTTTGAAAGCAGTCAACATGTTTCCAAGTTCATACATTCGATATGAGATGGACTTTTCATCGACTTCTAATTTGTAGATGGAATAAACTAGGTCCATAAGTGCTTAATTGCATATTGAAGTGATAGTATAGGTATTTCGATATTAAACATGGTATTCAAGGTACATTAGGGGGAAAAAGGCGAAGCTCCATATGTGCAATGGTAAATGGGAAGATGGGACGGCTATGGCAGATTATGTTAATTTGGTTTTGTTGATGTAAAAAGTATCTATCCTGTTTGGGGTCTCTCTGCAGTTTTTATTTTTCTAATATATTGTTCTTCAAAACTTTGTGCTGCTTTTATCACACTAATCAAATATTAAAAAAATCCACTAAACTCAGGCACTAAACTCAGGCCTGCCAATAGTGAATTGTTTTTAGTGATGAATAAAGTCATGGGAGGTAGTTTGATCTTGTGTTTCAAATTCAATGCTCGAATTTCACGATTATAACTACGGAAATGGGTCTCTTCTTCAAAAAAGGGTTTGTCAATATCTCTATTGTGGATAGGATTAATTATGTATTTGAGCATATAGTGGATTTATTTTTCATCCAATTGTGCACCAGTACTTGTTTGAGTTTCTCTCAGAAGGTATGCAAAACAACAGAACCACTGTGCTTCGGGTTGTGTCTCTACTTACATCTTCAGTAGAAGTCTTGCTTCCGATTCATGCGGCATCTGGTGGACTTAGCATCATATATTTTGTACTTACATTCCCAGTTGCTTGATGTATAAGAAATAACTTCTCATGCAGAAGTCTTTGGACTTGCGCTAATTACGCCTGAGATATTAGAGACTCATCTCTTATTACCAACTTGGGGCTCTTATAGATCTAATTCATTGAAATTCTCTCCAATAAAATGGAAGAATTATAAATCTCCAACATAATAGATACAAATACCGCAAATAGAGCCATTGCGACACCCATCAACGTGTTTTCACTTCATCAAATTAAAATTAAAGAATTGAGTGCTTGCACATATGGCTGAAAACGGGCTTTCTGCAATTGCTGCCTCATTCCTCACCCTGGAGCTACTTTACCATATTAATTCAACGGTTTTAATAAATCCCCTATAGTGGTTCATCTTGTACCAGATCTAGAACTGTTCTCAACAGTTTGTATTTTCTATAACTGTAGCCGTAGGACTAGGCTATGCTCTGTGGGTCTTGCAAAATTGATGAATGGTTTACTAAGTTGATGATTGAAAATAGTGATTTCAATTATTCAACAGTACGAATGTAGATGAAGCATTTTTCTATGTTTATTTCTTTGTATTTTTTCTTCTGGAGAAGCTTCTATAACTTGGTTATTGTTCATATTCAGACTGTTCGTTTTAAAAATGAGTTGGAGCGTAATATTACTATTAAGCTTGGGTATGCAAATGCAAAGATCTACAAGTGTGAAGATGAGCGGTGCCCTCGACCTATGTGTTACAAGTAAGAGTACAAGTTTAGCAATAATAAGGTGTCATGGCATTTAGTATCACCTTGCATCTCAATAAAGATGTATCATATTTTTGCAGGGCCTATGGAAGTGGTAAAGAGGACAGCCCTCTTTGTGATGTGCCTGGATTTGAGAACAGCAAGATGACATTGATGAGGCACGTATCCTTTGTTGACTGCCCAGTAAGTATTAAGATGGCTTCAGGAAGTATTCTCTAAAGTTACTATTACAGTGGTGAAACTTTTTATCGTTCTAGAACGGTGAAAATGTAGCTCTATTTGCTATACTATAGAAATTTTCAAATGTGGAAATATTTTTCTTGAGGTAAGAACTTAGTGTTATCCCTTCCTGTTAATTGACGATTCAATATTTTTATCATATGTGTAGGGACACGATATTCTCATGGCTACTATGCTTAATGGAGCTGCAATTATGGATGGAGCGTTGCTTCTCATAGCTGCAAATGAAAGTTGTCCCCAACCTCAGACTTCTGAGCACTTGGCTGCTGTTGAAATTATGCGTCTCCAGCATATTATAATTCTTCAAAATAAGGTTGATCTAATTCAGGAAAATGTAGCAATAAACCAACACGAGGCAATTCAGAAATTCATCCAGGTTATCTGCAAAGGCCCTTTTTTCATGCTGCTCTTTTACTGTGAATATTATTATCTATATATAGAACCCATCTGCTAAATATCATCGTACCAGGGAACTGTTGCTGATGGTGCACCAGTCATCCCGGTGTCTGCTCAGCTTAAGTATAATATTGATGTTGTGTGCGAATACATAATAAAGCGCATTCCTATCCCAGAGAGGAACTTTATTTCACCTCCTAATATGATAGTAATTCGGTCATTTGATGTGAATAAGCCCGGATCTGAGGTTGATGAGATAAGAGGAGGTGTTGCTGGTGGAAGTATCCTCAAGGTTTGTTCTTCGGCTGCTCTTTTTTTCATATAAGTTCTATTTATATTTTGAAAATCTTAGCCATACAGCCAAAGATGCCCTAAGACAAGTTCTAACTGTTCGGAAGGGAACATGATCAATAGAACCTGGCTGGGAGAGGGGAGCCCATTCCTATAGTTATTATTATATTACCCGTAGTTTCTATCTCTATCATTTTATTACCATACATGATACATCTGATTGCCAAATGTAGAATCATTTACTATATCAAATGTGTCAAGATTTGGCACTTGGTGGTTATCGGATCTATTTTCTTTCATGCTTTCTGTTTAATATTTCAAGTTTATCCTTGATGTCGTAAATCAAGTTCCTGATAACTTTTATCACGTGGATCTTTGTTCTACACAGGGAGTGTTGAAGGTAAACCAGAACATCGAGGTCCGTCCTGGGATTGTTGTCAAAGACGAGAGTGGCAACATTAAATGCACCCCAATATACTCTAGAATAGTTTCGTTATATGCGGAGCAGAATGAACTTCAATTTGCTGTACCCGGAGGACTTATTGGAGTCGGAACAACAATGGACCCTATGTTGACACGTGCTGATCGGCTGGTAGGACAGGTTCTTGGGGAGGTCGGGTCTCTTCCCGATGTTTATGTTGAACTCGAGGTAAGCCACGAGTACATGTGAGAAATGGTTCTTTTTTCATTTTCTCTTTGAAAACCAAACCAAAGCTACCCAGTATATCCCACCTGAAGGTAGGGTCTGAGGGTTAAGTTGTATACAGACCTTATCTCTGTCTCACAAGACAGATATGCCATCTGGGGTTAAGATATATGCAGACCTTACCTCCGGCAGAGGGCTATTTTAGAGAAGACCCCCGACTTGCATTTTTTTCTTCTTTAAAACCAAACCAACCTGGTATATCCCACCTGAATATAGGGTTTGCCAGTTTGGGGATAAGATATGTGCAGATGTTACCTTTTCTTTCTGTTGAGAGACAGACCACCTGTTTCCAAAAAGACCCCCCCAAGGCTCTCATTCGTTTTCTCTTTTAAAATCAAACAGACTCGTTCCAGTGCCACTAGAAATTAGGGCATAAGGGTGAGATGTACATACCTCTATCCTGAAGGGCAGAGCAGCAGTTCCTATGATCGAGTTGTCTTTTAGTTGGGTTGAAATCTGTTCATCATTGTCTTTTGTGAACAGGTGAACTTCTTTCTTTTGCGTCGGCTGCTGGGTGTAAAGACAAAAGGAACCGAGAGGCAAGGGAAGGTATCAAAATTAGCGAAGGGAGAAATTCTGATGCTGAACATAGGATCCATGTCGACAGGGGCTCGTGTTTTGGCGGTTAAGAACGATTTAGCAAAACTGCAGCTCACCTCCCCAGTTTGTACGAGCAAAGGTGAGAAGATTGCACTAAGCAGGAGAGTCGAGAAGCACTGGCGTCTGATTGGTTGGGGACAGATTCAAGCAGGTCTGACTCTTGAAATCCCACCCTGCCCAATTTAGACTTTTTAAGACCCACCACACATTTGGATTCCAGTTTTGCCTGCTGCTGCTGCTGCTGCTGCTACTACTTGATTCTTATATGCTGTTAGATTTGGTAGCATTTGTGATTTTACTACTATCAAAACTTGTTTTGAAGAGGAGCTTTGCATGTGCTATAAACCAATGGAAAGGATACATCTGCCTTTCCCCTTCCCCTTTCCCTTTCTTTCTTAAGGAAAATTGAGATTATGCTACCCTCCAAAGTACTGGTCCCACGGCCATCGTAAGAGAGAAATTGCGGTGTCTTAGGGTGGGGCCAGATTCGAACCCGAGACTTTGGTGTGGAAACTCCCTTTGCTTTTCTTCTTTTACATTATTGTCCTTGATTGTTGAAGAAGACATGAAATGGAAAATGCAAGCTTTTGGTCACCAAATACTTGTACCAATAAAGAATACGTTGAAATGCGATATGTGAACCGGGCCTTCAATGCTTTGGAACGGAGTGATGGCTTGAAAGCATGGTGATTGTTGAAACACTCGGTGTGCTCATATCCTTCTATGTAGGGGTGCTCGTAGTTGGGTTGATCGGGTTGAAAATATTTGAACAACCCAACCCAATGCTAGCGGTTTGAAAAAATCGTAATCCAACCCGTACGAGTTGGTTGGATTGATACTTTGGTATATTAAAATATTATTCTAACTTTGAATATGTTATTTTATTACTCATAATTTTTTTTCATCATCAGTCATTTGATACAATTTATCTATATTTTTTACGTATATCACATTCAGTTAATTTTCTCAATTTACATATATATGTTCACAGTTACTGAATATATATATATGAATGAGTTATATAGAGATGTGAATAAATTGAAAATATGTGTATGTGAAAAGCATATATAATAATGTAATTGTCTAATGTATATATTAATAGAAGTTTAACAATCATATTAAATCCAAGAAATAAAGATATTGGGTTTATTGGGTTGGGTTTAAATAATAGTAACCCAATATCAACCTAATACATACAGTTTGATACTTTTACAATTTGATTAAATATCAGATTGCTTCGGATTGGATTATTTTGGGTTGGGTTGGTCGGATTTTTGAGCAATCCTACTTTTATGCATCATTGGGCCTTATTCAGGTTTTAATAACATCCGATGTGATGGGCGGATTTACGGGGTGGTAATGGGTGCTTGTGCAACCCCTACATTATTTTTATGACATTGTTACCTATCGATTTCAAGATCAGACTAAAATGTAGTGATTTGTGCATTGGATTATACTGTCCAAATCGTACAACCAAAATCGAATCAAAAAGCTCTAAACCTACGGTACTGAGAACCATAGGTTGTTTCGAAGTGAAGAGTGCTAGACCAGTGGCTGAACCAAGAGTAGGCGAGGGGTCTGTTTGAGCCCTAGTGTGGAAACCGTAGAAGGATGGTGCTCTGGTGACGATTCTGACCTGCAGCCTTCGTTGATTGGTTCGACGGAGGCTAATCGAGAGAGAACACCTAGGATTTAGGGTTCAGACGGGATGGTGATTAGGCCGCCGGTGGAGGTCACCGTCAGAGGATTTGTGAGCAATATTTTTAGATCGGCTCATGTGAATGAAAGAAAAGCAACCGATTGTGTTTAAAAATAATAGATTCATTAAGATGCGGTCTCTGATAAAAGGTCCGTCTTTTAATGGTTTTTAAAATTCTTTAAGTAATTTTGTATCTTGGATCATCTTTAATTATTCAGCACCTTAATTTTATTATAATCAATTACTAAAGGATAGTATTTTATTTTACACTATATTATAAGATTTCTTTAATCATTCAGACTACTTAATTATTTTTTACCAAATCATTCAACAACTAACAAATAGCAACTTAGATTCTTCAAAATGTTAATTATTTATTGTTTCCATCCGTTATTTATAGAAATATTTTACTTTTCTCTCCACGGAAAAAGATTATCATCCTGACAGCTTTGACTTTCAACTTTTAATAATTACAAATTAACCCCTGTTATTTAAACTGTTTTCAGTTTCAAGAACTATTTTGATAATTCTGACCCTGTTTTCAATTATATTATGAAGATTTAATAGTGTCAATCTCGATTTAAGGATTTTATTGCATTTTAGTCTAAATAGTTTCAAAAGAAATATATATCCTTTATTTATTTATTTATAGGCATGGGATTGAGACGGGGATGGGGCAGGGACCTCAATCCTCGTCTCCGTCCCCGACTACTTATCTTTATCCTCATCCCCGCCGAGGAATATAATTACATCCTCATGCCCAACGGGGATTTTTTTTCCTGTTTATATAAGTTATTTTAAATTAAATATGTAAGAGATCATACATGTTTAAATCTCAAACATTTTCAATAAACCTACAACCAAAATGAATTTAATTTAATACAAAAAAGAACCACAACATCATATAAGAACTAATAACCTAAAACCAAAAAAGTTCAATTAAATCCAAAAAAAACTTAAAGTCACGTGTACAAAAAGATATTAAGTAATATAAAATCATATCGAGTAATTGTATTTTGATTTGACATCCAAAATATTACATATTAACATTAAAAAAATAATTTAGATTATAAACCTAGTTATGAAATAAAAAATTATTAACTATCGTTTTAGTTGAAAAAAATAATATATAATATACACATATATATATATATATATATATATATATAATTTATTAATATAATAAGGAATTAGTATTATATCGGTTTAGTTGTATTCATTATATTTGTATGATCTTGGGGTATTAGGCTTTGTTGGAAGTGTGTAGGAGATCTCGGGTATTTTAGCAACTTCTAATATTGTCTCAAATTGTGCCAGATACGGATGTTCGTACTTCTTTCAGCGACACTCTACTCGTTTATATTTGTTATATGTGACATTTCTTGTGAATCATTTGTCTCAATTGCTTCGTTGGTTGATATATGAAATTTCGATCCTCAAATTATTATCGTAACAACACCCGTTCTTGTTTCAAAACCTTGATATTTGATATCTTTATTTTGATTTGCGTTGTTGGCTTATTTTTGTGGCGAATTACGTTTTTGGTCTTTCGATTATAAGATCTTGATACATGGTGATATACTTGGAGTTGAGGTTGGTTTATATTCATCCATGTACATATACAACCCTTTGTTATATGGTTTGGAGAGTAGAAATACCGAGTCAACCACCTATAGGGGTATTGTAGGCATGTGTGGCGCCAGTGACGTGACACTATTCGTGGCGTGCGATGTCTCCTTCTGATTTTTGTATGTGCTCTGATTAGAGCTGGCCACAGTGAGATGAGTGATTTTATTCAGTAGGTATATGGGTCGGTCCTAGGATTTTGGAGCTTTTATTATCGGTGTGCAATGTAATGCCATACATGCCACTGATTTTTGGATACACATGGAGTCGTGAATCTAGTTTTATACGTAAGATTTTAGTACACATATCGAATGCAACAAGTTATTGGGTAAGTGCTTACCTGGGTAAGAGTCGCCATCCTTGCTTACCGGGTAAGACTCTATATTTTTTTCATTGCTCTTACCCGGTAAGATTTTTGGCCCTTCTCATGTTCATCCGATAAGAAAATTTATCGGTAACCACTTACCAAGTAAGTGTTTAGTAAACGACCCCTAAGTCATTATTGGATTTAAAGGAAGATTTATTAGAGTTAGATTTGTTGTGGTTAGAGATCCCGTTTCCGTTGCAGATTTGAGGTGTTACACGCTAGTTGGAGTATATTTTATGGACTTCTTGACATTTTTTCAATTATAACTCTTATTAATATTAATTGTGTTAATTATAACCAAATATTAATAAAAACTAGTTGTTACTAATATTAATTATTAATAAATATTAAACAATAGTAATTAATTTTAATTATACATTATATATTAATATTAACTAAATATTTAGAATCATTATTAACTAATTATATCAATTATTTTTATATTATAACTTTTCATTATCTATACTATATTATAAAACATTTGACAAAAACTCTTAAATCCATTTTTTATGCATGAAGTAATGTATATTGATGCATATTACTTATAGTTCAAGATTATAAGTAAATTATGCATAAGTACAAGTTATTAAAGGTCCACGTATGAATTCGTCTAACTAATTACGGATAAACATCAGATAAAGGATAAACATCTCATTTTTAAATATAAAAAATCTAAAATATAATTAGGATAATTATCGAGTTTTAACAAAATAATTAACTATTATCTTTATAAGAAAACTATATTACTAAACCAAATATAAATTACTTCATTATTGAACTTAAATTAAATTATAATTAAAAATTTGAATTAAAAAACAAAAAATAGAAATTTTAAATAGTTAATTTGATACTACTAACGATATAATTGTGTCAAATTTTTATGATATCTTCAAATTTATATTTTATTCAAAAATAAGAACATCATCGTTTTTTCAAAATCACATAAAATTATATTATAACATCAATTAAGATAACAAAATAAAATGAAATATTAAAATCAAAATGTATCTTGCTGCATTGTGTGAGTACCCTTCTAGTTGTTATTAAATAAATTTAATTATCAACAAGCAAATATAGCAATTTTTAAAATGTTTATATAAGTTACATACAAATTAAAATTATACTTATTTTGTTTTTTTTTTTTGTCTCGTTTTAAGGAAAACACATGTTTATCTTTGTATGAGCTTTTATTTATCAAAAATCTTAACAATACTTGAAAATCGACTATTATTCCTCTGTATATGATGTTGTTAACATGTTTATATAAGAAAATTAATAAAATTATATTTTGTTGTATTTGCTACTCAGTTACGAAATTAACCAAAAAACCACAAAAGTCCCTCTTAAAGGTGGAATTTGGCCAAAAACATGTCGTGCATAAAACGTAGTAATGTGTGTTGCTCAAAAATGAAGATCGATTCTGTAAGTTATTATATCCCTATGACATGTGTCACATAGTGATACTGCTAGGGTGTATGTAAATCTATAGGGTCGTACACAAAAAAATGCGTTTAATTTCATTTGTAGAAACTTGGATTAAATCAAGTTGATTATGGATATAGTTATTTTTGGAGGATGATTATGAAAATATGTGTTAAGATGTAATTATGATAATTATAGGGTGTTATTTGTAAATATGTATAACTATATTAAAGTTTAAGATAATTATATTTATGTTACAGATGGTTATTAAACCTTGTTTGAGTTATATTTCATCCATAATTCCAACTATCTATACTATATTATAAAGCATTAGGAAAAACTCTTAAAAATCATTTTTTTATGCATGAAGTACTGCTTATTGATGCATATTACTTAAAATTCAAGATTACAAGTAATTTTGCATATGTATAACTTATTAAAGCTCTATTTTTAAATTTGTGTAACTAACTGCAAATAAAACATAATCAAATACAGGATAAACATCTATTTCAGATATAGAAAATCTAAAATATAATTAAGATAATAATTGAGTTTTAAGAAAATGTTTATTATTAATTTATAAAAAATTATATTGTTAAACCAAAAATAAATTACTTTGTAAGTAGTTGTTTGAAAGAAAATCTTAATGCATCGAAGATTTGTAAGTAGTTGTTTGAACATGAAAGATCACCCTACAGACTGACCATATCTCTGCAAAAGTGTCTCTGCATGAACAATGTTGTATGCACACAGTGTTTGTGTATTAATTCTTGATATACATCAATAAGAATTAAAAAGTTTGAAAAAAGTCTGTATAATTGTATTCAACCCCCCCCCCCCACTTTTACAATTACTTTATGTTTATTGTCATTTCATTCGAAACCAACAAGGTATTTATGTATTTTAATTTTTTTTTTTAATTTATAAGATTTTCATGTTTCAAGATTTTAAATTAGCAAGTTTTCTCAAATTTTTTCGTGAAACAACTAAATTTCTAAAGGATTTCTTGCAGAAAATCCGTCGGAAAGTGTTTTATTTTTAAAAATAAAAAACAAAAAGTTCATATTTTAAACAAGGAAAAAAATTACCGGAATAATTTCCATCGGAAATCCGTCAATAATTTATTTTTTATTTTTGGAAAAAGTAAAAACAACTCTTATTTTAATCAAGAGGAAAAAATTTAAATAAATTTAGGCGCGGAAATTTTGTGGGAAAAATTAATCACATTTTTTTAACTCCGGTAATTAACTCAAGAAAATTATAAAATGTCAAAAACAATTTCGACGGATTTTTGGATGCAAGATCCACCGAAAAATACAAATCCACAAGAAATTCCGCCGGAAATCGGGTTTTCCAGCGGATTTGGCGGTCGGAAAACCCCTTTTTTTAGTAGTGTAAGGTGATGTGTCGAGGGCTTCTTCCGTTCGAGTTGCTCACCTAAGTACAGCTAAATCCTAGTGACCCCAAGAAGATTTGAATAGGCAACCTATGGGAAAGAACCCAAGGCCTAACCTTTATTTGCGAGTTGAGTTGAAGCTCAAGGTTTGTAACCGAACCAGAAATGGTCCCCCAATCAAGACCCATGAATCACACAAATGTGAGCAGGATGCTAAAGTAGTAACTTGTTATTCTGATAAAAGAAGTATATACGTTGAACAAGAGAGGCCGATATGAACAGTTGATGAATACAAGAATAACAGTCGCAGTTGATGAATACAAGAATAACAGTCGCAGTTGATGAATACAAGAATAACAGTCGCGCAACAAAAAAATCTTGCTGTTCAGTTTCGGTGTTCTTTTATCTTTCCTTTGCTACTATACAGTTCAAATCCGACATCAATAATGGTCGACTTCTTTTCGTTTATTTTTAGCCTAATCACATGTGAACATGCCTGGAGGGCTCGTACCTAACGATTGTCAACTTCCAAATGCTTCGTGTTAGGATTGTTCCTTTATGAAGTTCCACGCAAGCAAAGCTGCTCCAACAGCAGGCTCGACCTGATTTAATCCAAGGAAGCAAACAAATAATCGTAGAAGATGTAATATATGTGTATATTTGGTTTATGATTAATAAAAAAAGTCTTGTTTGGGATGATCACTTTTCCATCTACTATTATATAGTAAATGGGGTTTAGAAAGACAGGGTTTACATACTCTTTCTAAGACGGAGGTCTCCTTAAATATATCGTCCGGTTTTGGCTAAAGAGGAAGAAGATTCAAAACTAGAATTTTCGGCTTTAAGGTGAGTGTAAAACGCTTTGAGTATTAATCATTTGTATACAAGTCTGTTGCTATTAGAACTTGCTGTTATGAAATGCATTGCATGTTAACCGGTTATACCCTAAACCGGACAAGTATCATCCGGTGTAACCCTAAACCGGACAAGAGTCATCCGGTGTAACCCTAAACTGGTTGAAGTATCGTCCGGATTACCCCTAAACCGGACAAGAGTTGACCGATGTGTTTCCTAAATCGACCAAGTTTCATTCGATTTACCTATTAAATCGAACAAGAGTTAACCGGATTAAAGTTCAAATCGTTCAAGACTGCGTTGTCCGGATTCCTTATCCGGCTGTTGTGCGGATTCCTTATCCGGATGTTGTCCGGATTACAAGTCCGGCTGTTGTCCGGATTACAAGTCCGGCTGAAGTTGACCGGATTGCAAGTCCGGTCAACGTTATATCAAAATATAATTCCACTCAATAATAGAAGAAATGGTAATGGCGGTGTAACCGCGAGAGAGTGGTAATGGCGGTGTAACCGCGAGAGAGTGGTAATGGCGGTGTAACCGCGAGAAAGAGAGATTCTATAATAGAATATAGATAAAATGCATATATCTGTACAGATCTGTTTCTAAACTTCTAGTTTGGAATATAAGTTGTTGTATGAGTTTTGTACACTCACTAGACCTTTTGGGTCTAATGCTCAGTTGTTGGACTAATCTGTTTTGCAGGTCATCATACATCACAAGACAAAGGAAAGGGAAAAGTTCAAACAATAGTGTTTAGATGCATATAAGTGTATTAAACAAAGTTTTTAGCCCATATTTTGTAAACAATATAAAGTTTGGCTATTAGATGTGATTGTTATATAATACATGTAAGTGCAGAATTGTGGGTTGTTACAAAAGAAATGCATACAAAATGTTAACAGCAAAAGTTATTCAACTTTGCAACATGTTCATTGTGGTTATATGTGGAATCCTCTAAGATTACTCTCCATATTGAGAATATATAGAACCCTGGTAGATTACTCCAAAAGAGCCTTTTAGGGGGGGGGGGGGGGGGGGGGGGGGGGGGGTTCAGTCCCAAAATAAATGCCATAATAAAAATGGCATACAGTTTTAGGAATATGTAATTACTACACTTTTTAATTAACTAAACGATACTTGTACCCTTAATAATAAGGAGAGAAATTTTTCTCCATCACATAATCAAGGGTAAAATGGAAAAATAGACACTTATCTTTTTTAAAGTGAACACTTATTTTGGGACAAACTAAAATAGAATTATGGACACTTATTTGGGGACGGATGGAGTATTGAAGAGGAAGTGTTAAAGTCTAGCCAACATGACACTCTATCCCCCTTCAAAAAAGGCTAGACGGGCAAAAGATGTCCAAAGTGTCGAGTTGCAGGTGAAGATGTTCCGGATGGTAGACTTGGCGCTGAAACCATTTGAAATATGTGAAACCTAATTGGATTACTCTCCAAAAAGCCCTTGAAGAGAGAAGGGTGGTTAAACAATATATTGAAGAGAAATTTCCAAGTGTAGTCAATGTGAGACTCTTAACATTCATGATGCTAGAGGGTGGCCCTCCCAAGCAATGGGATGTATCAAACACCAAACTAAACAAACTCAGTATATCCCCCTCAAGAGAAAGATCTTTTTTTGGTGGGGGTG